CTCCAAGTTTCAGCTCCGTACAGTAGAACTGCCTTGACGTCCGTATTGAAGATCCTGACTTTGATATTGATTGACAGTTGTTTTGAGTTTCGTATGTTCTTCAACTATAGGAATGCGACCCTTGCTTTGCCAATCCTCGCCTTTACGTCTGCATCTGATCCTCCTTGCTCATCGATGATGCTACCCAGGTATGTGAAGGATTCTACATCTTCCAGAGTTTCGCCATCAAGAGTGATTGGATTGCTGTTCCCTGTTTTGAATTCGAGGACCTTGGTTTTCCTCTTGTGTATGTTGAGGCTTACTGATGGAGAGACTGCTGCTACACTGGCTGTCTTTATCTGCATTTGTCCGTGTGCATGGGATAGGAGAGCTAGGTCATCTGCGAAGTCCAAATCGTCTAATTGGTTCTGAGTTGTCCATTGTATGCCGTGTTTTCCCTCAGATGTCGTGGTCTTCATAATCCGGTCGACCACCAGAAGAGAGAGGAACGGAGAGAGTAGACAACCTTGTCTAACTCCGGTCCTTACTTCGAATGCGTCTGTCAGCTGTCCTCCATGCACGACGTTGCACTGAAGTCCGTCGTATGAGTTCCGAATCATGTTGACAATCTTCTCAGGAACTCCTTAATGTCAGAGAAGTTTCCATAATGTTCTCCTATCTACACTGTCAAACACTTCTTCATAACTAATGAAGTTGATGAACAGTGACGAGTTCCACTCAACTGATTGTTCTACGATGATCCGTAGTGTCTGTGCACGACCGATCTTTACGGAATCCAGCCTGTTGATCTCGAAGTTAGGTGTCTGCTGAGTCTTTCATCCGGTTCAGCAACACTCTGTTAAAGACTTTCCCTGGTATTGACAGCAGTGTAATGCCTCCGTAGTTTTCACATTCGCCCGAATCTCCTTTCCTTGGAATCTTGATGATGTGTCCTTCTTTCCAGTCCATCGCCACTTGTTCCGCCTCCCAACTCTTTCTGAATAGAAGGTGAAGCATGTTTCTAGTTACTTCCATGTCTGACTCCAGTGCTTCAGCTGGTATTTTGTCGGGTCCTTCTGCTTTCCTGCTCTTGATTTGTCTGATAGCCATTCTGATTTTTTCCATCGTTGTTGGTGGGACATCTATGGGAATGTGTGTGTGTGCTGCTTCGACATCCGGTGGGTTCAGTGTGGCTGGTCTCGAAGTACTCTACCCATCTGTCACGCTGCTCTTGAGTTTCAGTGAATGGCCTGCCTTCTTTGTCTTTGACCGGTCTCTCTGCTTTACTATATCTCCCTGCTAGTTTCTTCGTTGCCAGTACTGCCATGTGGTATCTCCTCATTTCCATTGCCATTTGACTGGTCTTCCCGGTCTCCCACATTGTTCGGACGTTCCATATACCTATAACAACTAATGCTCTGGTTGTTAGAAGTGGCATCGGCCTCGTGGGTTACGAAGAAACTGAGCTTTCACCACGAGCCGTCATAGTTCTTCTAAATGAAGACCTACTAACTCTCAGGGCAGAGTTTAAATGGTTGGAATTATTTTTTCTGGTTGGAGTTTTTTCAGCGAGTTATTTTTCTACGGGATGGGGTCACTAACCCCATGCCCAACCTCTTCCTCTACCCGGGCTTTGGACCGGCGGTAACTCTAAGAGGGTCACAGGCGGAGTTATAGCATTTATATGCTTCAGCGAAAAAAACGTGGTCAAACATCAAGCTCTAGCAAATATGGTCTTAAAATGATGTAAATAGACAATGGCTGGCAACGTGAGCAAGGACCGAATGGTTATCTGGACCCGAAACTTCATGTTGTTTTTTCACTTAGCGTTTCACCGTTTTAAACTATGGACTATCCTGCTATATTTTTTCTTCCGGCAACTGTCTGCCTAATTTCCAATTTTCGAGTTCCATTGCCAAACAACAAGAACAATATTCCGGAAACTTACGGTGAGCTTAAGCTATAAAGTTTCTGATATTTTAAGCTCGTTTCAGACTGTTAATAAAATGAGGGTCACGTATTTATCTGAACATTGATTTTTACTAAATCAACTGAGTGACGAAATAAATAGCATCACAAACACCCTGGAACTAGTTGCAATACCGAGTGTTTGATCCATTTCCTTTTGGATCATTACTACTATTCACAAATTGCCCTATACATGTCAAGTTCATTTAATTGTCTCTACGCTTACAGACTGTAATATGCATTTGCGTGTTTTTGCAACGTGAAGTAACTTTCTGTACCCTAATATGAATTGTTAGTAATACCTGTTAATTGATCAAAATATCCTCATGTATTTTGTCTGATGTAGTTATCTGCATGTTTTCCGTTATTCTCTCCAAGGCGGCAGAAATTAACAATTGTACATTGGATCGTACTGTGACTTTTGCTTCGGTGAAACGCGACCATAATGTCATTAGTTCAGCTGTATGCAACGGCGAATTAAATAATGAAAGACACATCTTTAGCCTTGATCAACGATAGCCCCGACAAGGAAGATTGAAGAACACAACGTGTAGTTACCTATGAGCGGTATTATAGGTTAAAATACAAGAGAGGAGAAGGAATAAATAAATGAATGTCCAGTTAAGCGCTGTGGAGAGAATTTCAGCGTATTGTTTTCGTTAATCTGACAGTTGCGCCGATCGTTCGTTTGGACATTATCTGTGTAACGGTTGAATGAGTAAATTCAAAGATATACGAATACTATGGTGGGGTTTGGGGGAATTCTATACACGTGTTGCATGTAAATAAACGAAAGGCGGGATCAAGATGACGTACATTTAATTAAGGAGTCGGCTCATTGTCTGCTGTGTAAGATAAGAGTAAATGCACAGCGTATTGTTTGCATCGGTAAGAAGGGTAACCACTATAGTACCCAAAGTTTAAAAGCTGCAGAAGATGTGACCTTTTCGTAAAAGGCTTACGCAGAAAGCTTATTATCTAGCGTCACGTAACATATTACTTAAGGTAATAAGACGAATTACTTGGTTACAACTTTGGCTGAGATCGCTTGTGTACATGCAATGCCTTTTTCCACAATGGGTCTACTTACAAAGTATACATATACATGATTTTCATTAAAAATTGACGGGAATGACAGGGTGATCTTATTCGCAACGCAACACAATGTATGACTAGTTCATTTTAGAGTAAATACAAAACGTTATTAAGCCTCATAAACATATTACGAAATAATCTAACGAAATTGAGAAACTCGCCTGGGTTATTCTCCCCTTTAAATAATGAAGTTTTGAAATAGACAGTAGTTCAAATTTAGATTACATGCAAGGTATTGTTGATTTATTTCTTGGTTTGGTGTTACGTTGTAGACAAATTTTGTATGGGTCCAAAAGTGATTTGAGCTAAATCCGTAGCACTGCCAGTGTAGATCACCAACGCAGATGATCTGCGCCAAATGTTTGGGGGCCTGCCCAAGTTAGACGGCGATGGTGTGATCAGTCAGCTGACATCGAATGCACACCTCGAGGCTAGTACAAAAAATGGACTACCCTTCCGTCATATCCAGGTACTACCACTGCTTTAACGACGATACGGCACGAGCAACTTTATTACAGAAATATATTGGTAAGAGTAGGTACAACAGAGTGCGACCACCAAACATGGGCCAGTCCATGGTGTGCAATTAACTAGTGCAAGTTGGTTGTCCTTCACATTGATGAGAAGCGGTGAATTGTTCGGCACTCAGAGACCCAACTGTCAGATGATTTGGCTAGGACTCATTGACATTTTACTGGCCCTACAAATCTAAACGTCGATAGGCACAACAAAGGAACTCGTCGTCGTCTGAGACTACACTCTATGGTCCATCCATGTAAGGTGATCAATTCCTCGCCAATATAACGTGAGCTTTGTCATATATATATCGTTCAAATCTCACATTTTGACACATTCGAAACTTTAACTCCTATTTCCGGTTATCAAGTTGCTTCAATTTTACTATTGTAGTAATGATAGTAATTACTGAATGCTTTTACCAATAAATATATATGGGTTAAATGCTCTTACCTAGTGGTTGTCTCACGTTACCGCCAATTTTTCACTCGGGTTCTTTTATATTCTCCTAGGACACAGCACAATCATACTAGACGCAAACCTACCAAAGACTGAAAGTTACAACATCACGCGGATGGAATTAATGACGATCGAGAATACCGCATCAAGGCAAACATTAATTTCACAGAGAGACTTTGAGTTATGTGACCTTTTATCGAAAAAAACCTAACAGAGTGTGTTAAGTAAAACAATAGTTCATTATTAATAGCTTGTAGCGTGGCGTCGAGTTGGGATTAACTATGAACACCGCTACCAAGAAACACGTGCCAAATAAATCAGAAGGCGTAGGTTGAACTTAACCAAAGAAACCCATAAAATCTCCGAGAAGCCAAATACCAGAAGGCAATTAATGGACCAAGTCGAAATATATTTGCTGGCGATCTCGTGGTATCGAAAGGATACCGAGATCGTGCCAGGATACAAACTTGGTTACAGAACGTAACCGAATTCGCGCGAAGTTACAATCAAAGTGTGAGTATAAGAATGGAAGCACAAAATAGCTGTCATTAGCACAGTTAAACAAAAGCACATTAAAACAAACACTGGTACGGTTGGTTATAATAATAATTGTTTCTATTAAACCAGTCGTGTTCTCGTGATAAATGGTGAGTCACTAGAAGCTTATGATGGAGGTTCATAAAGCTGTTTGGTTTTAGAAACGAAGGTAATTTGCTTACATTAAGCCGAGCTCGCGAAATTGATGTAATGAATCCATTTAAACCCTACGCTGCCTCACCGTTTCTTTCCTTTAGTTTTCTGTTTTTACAAAGTGTTGCTTCTTATTAGAGAGTCGGAGTAATTACTTTCGCAACAGGAGAGTTTTATTTCATTTTGTCGCAGAATTATACAAGTTACTAGTTATTTCAGATGAATGAGCTATTTTTTTCATTATCTAGTGATTTAAAATCCTGAAGTTTATTAGTTTGTTTGCACATCTTGGCGGTGTACCGTCTCATTTGCGGGAAGTTTAGTTTCTTTGGCTATGGAGCGGACTAACTCTGTAAGGTCTTAGGGATATTTAACTTCATGAAAAAATTCCAGTTAATGACACTTTTTTGTCTTGGTCTCTTAAAAAAGCGCTAGCGTCATCCATCTGTACATGGTACTTTTGAAGTTGTAAACCACACTACAGGACTGTCACTGTAACCTAGTTACGATTCCCTCCTTTTTGATGTCTACATTTACTCATGTCGTTTTGAGCTGGTTATTCATCTTTATAGCTGAGGTAGCTTCTCAAATTACACTGAAAAGAATTAAGGTTTTGAATCTGACATTTCATAGCGAGGTGTGGATTTACATTTCATTATTCGTTACCTAATAATAATTATGCTTTTCTTAGTTGTTTCGAACTGTCTTAAGGGTGTGGTTTTTTGATAATATAAAAAGCTAGCATTGTTTGAACAACAAGCAGGAGGTGACCTAAATCTCCAATGATAAATGTTCATGTTTGCTTATGGTCTAATTAACAACATGAGTAGCATAGGAGTCAAGATATGATGCTATCAATCAAATTAAGGAAGAATAATAATAACAAACATGATTCGAAGCAAAGAACGTTCTCAGTAAAAAATGTGGAGTAATATCGGAAATCAAGATTTTCCGAATATAAAGTGTAAATTTATCTTCGTCACAGTGATCGACTTTTAATGAGCTAAATGTCACCCCATATGCTTCTTTTTGGGGAACCTCAAGACTGGCCATATCAAGTTGTATGTGATCAGTAATGATATTTGTCTTGGTAAGCTTAGTTAACTTAATTTATGTATGCTGAATTACAAGCTTCTGTGTTCTGTTCAAACGTAAACCTTGAAAATGCAAAAGATTCTCAGGATACGTTTGCCAAACAGCCCCAATTATTTGCTAAACTTTTTAAGACACTACACAACTGTCGATGATTTGTGGAAAAAAACTGGAAATGAGTTATGTTCTACGTTTGGCTTTAATTTATGCAATTACTTAATAAGTACCTATTTACTCAGTTATGAAATGCCTTAGTCCTATGGTTAAAAAGTATATATTTGGGACTTGTTGTAGGGTGGCGAATACCAGACAACCTGGTGAGACCCTACAAAGGAACAATGACAGTTCAGGATAAACCTACTTTTGGGAATTTTATTGATATCAAACTGTCTGAATACTCCGCCAATCATGGACGAAAGTAGTATCTAACCTGTCCATGAATCGATCATTTTTACTGCCTAGTAGTATATGCATTACAGGTTGGGGATTCTCCGTTTCTAATGATATCCAGAAAAAATATATACTAATTAGTTGGAATATCTTATCGAAGCGTTTTTTTATGGTTGGTGGTGCTGGGGGAATGTCCTTTGGGATTTTTCACGTAATATTTACAAAAAGAAACAAAAAGTTTACTTATGCCAATATTTGTTCGTTCAATTTCTCTAAGTCCTGAACTATAATGTTTGCAGCACTTGAGGAAATCCCATTTTAAGAACCAGGTGTTCCGCTATTTCTGCCGACTGAATTACAATTGTCCACAGTTAAAACGTAAGATTAGGTGATAATTTTTCGCGAAGCTGTCAAAGATAGGGACCAGTAAGCATATTTAGTTATAGTTATCTAGCTGTCAAAATTCTTATTTTGGAGGGAAATAGATGACTTAGCAGTTAACGGGTATTCTAGTGTAAGAGCTTGATCCATACTAAGGCACGTTTTGTGGCGAATTCATGACATTTTCTTGTGTCTATAGTGAATATTATTCCTAGAAAATATCGTTATGAAAGATTACTGAAAATACGAGTATGTGGTTGGGTAATCAATTTTTGTTATTGTGTTCTTTTTTTACTAAATGTGTTAATGTTACATTACTTGGTTTTACGTCTGAACACTTTGTATTGACGTGTTTTCTCAAAAATCCTCTTACACAGAAATCAACTGAAAAGATCGTCACAGATTATCAAAAGGCACATAAACGCGCTGAACTTGAACGTTTACGTATAGCCAGAGAGCATCAAAGGGAACTAGAAAGAAAACAAAAAATATTGGAGAAGGTTTCTCTTTTCGATTATTTAAACACTTCTGACTAGGAAAGGCAACAACGAGAGAGACAAGAAAAGAGAGATGCTGAAGAACGTAAGAAAGAAGAGAAGCGTTTGAAACGTAAGGAAGAGCAGCGCAAAAAAGAAGAGGAAAGGGAAAATGAACGTAAAAAGAAGGAGTATGTTTCATGCTATTCAAATTTCTTAGTTTTGTTTGTCTTCGTTATACAATACTCATTTTTTGTTTTAGGGAAGAAAAACGCAAGAAAGAGGAAGAAAAACTGCAAAAAGAACAAGAAAGGAAAAGGGAAGAAGATTTAAAAAGCCAAAGAGAAGAAAAACAACGTGCAGTTTTGTTAGGATTTCTTGTGAAATCAGAAAGCAAAAAGGTCTTGTAATTTTCCTTTAATGTTTTATTTGTTTATTAGGAAACCAATACCATCTCTTGTACAGACTGTGGACCATTTATACAATTTGAAGTCAGAAAAGATATGAGAATGGCTCCTTTGCATAGAATGTCACAGGCTTTACTTTCCTCAAAACAAAGCAACATGGAAAACTTACGACATGCATGGGTAAACGGAAACGACAAGGATGCAGCATCATCACTTGGGTTACTTAAATTCGGACGTGCTAACTATCTTCATGAACTACGAACAGGACAGATATTACCATTATCCTATCCAAGTACCTGGCCAATGTACGCTGCCTTATATATATATATATATATATAAATATATATATATATATATATATATATATATATATATATATATATATATATATCCATATCAACCACTGCTAGTTATCATCAGTTCAAATCACAGTTTCCTGTGAACGACCATAAAAATTAGTGTTTATTTAGAGAGCGTTTAGTATATCGTATTTACAGTTGGCACCCTTGGGTAGTAGAAACTGATAAGATCTATTTGGGTATGTTGAGCTCATTTCCTGACCATAGGTGCTACCTTGACATGATGATCGGGGTTAGATATTGGGATGATCCAATCTATCTATATTGGGTGGAACACTTGTTCCTTTAAGTCCTGTCATACCGTTCAGGTCGGTTTTAGAGCGGTAAGATCAAAAACAGCAACTTAGGGTCCATGGACATAGTTGTACTGCTGACTGCACAAGGGTGTGACAACAGTAATGTGTTCCCCTCAAATAACCATAATCTATAACGGTACTTCATTCTCAAAACAAAAGGGTTTAGAAAAGACACCCTAAACTTAGAATACCTCATCTTACTCTACGGAGTTTTGACTTCCGCGGTCGGGGCTTTTGAAATACGAATCTAACACATCAAAAACTCCTCACAAAAGGTTGATATGTAACCGGCCTCAAAGAGTTGTCCCCTGGGTGCTGTGGTCACGCTCTCAGGTTGCTAAGATCATCACTAATACAGTTTTTCCTCCCAGCCTTATCAATAAGAAGCATCTTTCCACGGTGTGGGGAACCAGGAAGTGACAACTACCTTCATACCCGTAGCAACACGTGAGATCACCTCGGTCATAACCAGACGCCATCTTCACTAAATATCACTTCTGCCAACTCTCACCTTCTGTATTTGACTTCCTCAACACGTTCTGTCAATACTAACGATTCGAGTTCACAAAATGCCATTCCAGATCACCTAAAACCTCGCTTCGAACCATGTGTTGCAGCTTTAATGCCCGAGCCCTATGTCCAATTCGAACAACAGAGGTCACTGGCTATGACCCTAGAATCTTCTTCCATCGATTTATGCTGTTTATACGATCCTACCTTGATGATTCACTTGACTTCACCCAGCTAGTATAAGGAGCAAATGTAATACACCCTTTATGTATTTAGAGACGCGACAGCAACTCGTTATCTTCCCGGTATAGATATTACTATAAATCTGAACAAGAAGTTCTTATCGGGATTCCCATCGACATTCGCTTATTTGGTGTCCATTTCAATGGTAAGATATAAACTCAGAAAGGCGAATACGTTGTTGCGTTTTATCGTTTCTGCCTATGGTCCCACTGACCACTTTCCGTATAGAGTAAATAACGAGTTTTACTGGAAACGTCATGATCTTTTCCAGAAGGCCACGCTCTCAGTATTATTATTTTTTTAAAATTATTGGTACAAGGAGGCACCAAATACATATGCGCCACACAAATCTCATTTGATATGTGTGAGGGCTACGATACTGTCCGGGTGCCCAAACCGAAGCGGGTGGTGTTCTTAGGGGGCCACACCCTAAACCTTCGATCTGGGAGTCTGATCTACAAGGCAGTGGAGCAACGTGAGGAGATGCAGTTCCATGGAAGCTGGTGACCAACTATTGGTTCATACGCCATTTCTTCCTTCAGGATACTGGAGCCCATGTACATCATTGGTTTTAAATCAGGGTTTTCTAACTCCCCTAGGTGGACTCTCCATGTCCACCAACCCGGTTAAAGCTCTGGACATTCGTTTTTCGTCCTCTCAATTTCGTAAACAATACCCCCGCCACGAGAAGGCAGTGAGTAGGACTTCCCTGGCAGAGGCTATATACGCGTGACCATGTGAGAGCACTTCGAGAGGGAAAGCGGACTCTCCCCACTCTCGGTCGTACCACAGCATTTGGGGGCAAAAGCACTGAGCCCGATGTGATATGGCAATCGTTGCAGCGGATTTTTACACTATAGTTAGTAGTATGAATCAAACTAAAAATTCGTTTGGGTGGGTCGTATAGCGTCGTAGCTCAACAAACGGATAGCAACGACTGTCTGTCTTAATTTTGCTCAAACAACTAATTATTCCTAGCAGGTAAAAACTTAAAGCACAACGTTAGGTATTATCTAATCTGGCGGCCCACGACATTAATACAAAGATGAACACACATAGGCCATATCACCATCAGCCATTGTTAGAGACTCAACAGAAAACTAACTCTTCTACTGGAGTACATGCCTAGACTCAGATTATGCCCCATCAGTAGTAGTGTAGTGAACGAGAACACAAGTGGGGACAATCGGATATATTTGAATACAAAATTACAGAATCACTTAGTAAAATCTGAGAACCATACAGTAAATACTTCATTTGCAAAATGTCAATCAATCGTCTCATGTTTCATTGTTCTTTCGTTTCCACGTCAATCATTCTTTGTTCTCGTTCTCTTTTCTTTGATATCCTTAACCTTCTGCCTCGAGGCATTTCACTTCCGATCGATGATACATACTGCTTATATGTGTCGACATCAGTAGCACACATTTCTGTTAGTTTTACTGGACGTAATAAGGTCACAGAAAGGAAACTCCTTCGATATCAATTCGAAGATGAGAAAGTGAATGAAATATTCAGTTAAGAATTAGCCAAGCACCTAGTTGGTTGTAGGGAAATAGTTCATTTTGAACAAGCTTGGAAAAGCATCCATGCAGCCGTAAATACAGCAGTCACATCTATTAACAACTAGCTCACATGTCCAGGAAAGATCAGGGGATTCTGGCAGCATGTACTGGATTAATAGAGGTTCGAAAACATCCTATCGAATAAAGATAAAGAGCAACGACAGCTCAAACTTAAACTAATAAAAGGTGTGAGACTACCTTGGTAAAGGGCCAAGCTATTATTCACTCTTAATCTAAGATTAGATAGATGGGCAGAACATTTTAGTGAATAGTTCAACTGACCTCCAGCTGCTTTTCAGTTACCCTCTATCTCCAACCGACCTGAATGGCAAATCAACATGAGTTCTTCGACCCTTAATGAACTTGGAGAGGTTATGTATACTCTAGAATGAGAAAGCTGCAAGCCCTGATGTCTCGACTCCAGAGATCTTTAGTGATGATGGTTCAATTTTAGTGTCTAAGTTGACTGAGATCTTACCTGGAGTCTGAGAATTAGACGTAATCTGACTAGTCTCGATAACTGACCATTATAATCTACAAAAAGGAACAAAAATCCTATTGTGATAACGACAGAGGAATCAGTTTGATTAATGTGATGTCTAAAATGTCAGCTTCAATAATCGCCCAACACTTAATTTGTTCTGGTAAAGAATAAACCGAGTGAAACTAGGCCAATTTTAGAAGTGGACGCGTTTGGATACACCAAATATTCACTCTTCAAGTTTTCAAAAATAGGAATGCTTACCGACACCCGACTATATTGGTTTTTCTTGACCTAAAGACAACATTCTACTCTGTTAACTTAGAGGTTTTGTGGTAATGTTTGTTATTGAAAGGAGTATCAAAGTAGATGAACCTTATGAAAGCTTTACTCAGACACAATTGAACAACTGTCATCAGAACTGTTAAATTCAAGTGGGATTCATCAGTTCTACCCACTATTTCCGTTTTTATTTAATTTTGTCACCTATGTTCGCTTCAAATTAACAATTTACTCGACTTTTCAGGGGTTAATCTCTTACTGAGAAGTTCTCTTACTCGATGGCTTTGATACATGGTTTATGAGGATGGAAGACATACATAGGTTGCAGGCTTTCGACCATATATGTTTTCGAGAAATTGTTGGCGTATTGTTGAACAATCGAGCATGTATTGTTGAGATTAGGGACAAGTCGGTTGATGAAGAAGTGTTTATGACCTCGATGAGCGATGCTTGTTCGAACAGAAACAGGTTGGGAAACAGCGAGGTGCAACAAAACAAAAATGAGTTATCACTCAACGTTACTGACTACTAGTCCGAGGCATATTTTTAAGTGCAGACTACTTGCTTGGGGTCTGTGAGATAACCGCTACCAGTGGTTGAAGTGGTTGAGTGACATGGCTCACAGTAGATCTCGGTGGCGCGGATTCATTCACATGCTACCTCTATAGATCAGTGTTTCCAATATCCCTCCATACATACCTTCCCATCAACTTTTCGAACCACATTCCTAATGTTTATTCTTTCTGTTTATGGTTGCTGCTACATTATTTCGGTTCATTTGACGTACGTCTTGTTAATTTCATTTCGTCGACCTAACGTGGTATGACAACTTAGACCAACTCCTGTTTGAGCCGGGCTCTATGTTGATATCTATTTTTCTGAGTTCACCCTCATCAAGCAGCTTTCGTTGACATACATTTTTATCTGTCTCTTTGTTGATTATTTCTAACTGGCTGTCCCAAGTGCTAGTTGTTTGTTGAAAAATTATTAATCCAAAGACATTTAAATTCCCAAACGTAACTCTTAGAATCTGAAGTTTACAGTTAAGTACACTAATTTTGTCTTTATCCATCATTTGGTCCTGTGTGTTTCGGTGTGCTTTGAATACGGCGAAATTTGTCATAATCTGATGGTGGGATGATTCACTGGACGACTGACGGCAGCAGATTTTCCATCATTAATCTGCACTGTGAATGGTTGTTCGATGTTTAATGAACGCCTTGTTTCGTCGCAATGTCTTCCAGAGTTCTCTCTGTTAGCTCCAACTGAAATAACTACAAAATTTTTCAACGACCGTTTTGATTTCAATAGGCAATAATTCACACTTAAAGTTTAGTCTTGTCCATATAGTAGT